TTTTTTTGAGGCAGAGTTTCACTCTTGTTGCCTAGGCTGGAGTGCAATGGCGTGATCTCCACTCACTGCAACCTCCACCTCCTGAGTTCAAATGATTCCCCTGGCTCAGCCTCCTGAGAGCTGGGCTTACAGGCACCTGCCACCATGCCTGGCTAATTCTTTTTGTACTTTTAGTAGAATGGGGTTTCACCATGTTGACCAGGCTGGTCTTGAACTCCTGATCTCAAGTGATCCCCCGCGTTGGCCTCCCAAAGTGCTGGGATTACAGGTGTGAGCCACTGCACCCTGCCAAAACTCAAGTATTTTTAAGCTCCAAATCCAGTACTTTTTTCCTTTTTTTTTTTTTTTTTTGCTGTACCATGCTACATATTTTATCTAATGTATGTTACCGTCCTAACTATACAGTCAAGATGAACAATGCTTTAATTCTACTTTTCTCAGCTCAAATTTCATGAGTTTTAGGAACCCCACTCTGCTAACTAAGAATGGCTACAGTAACTATACTACTAAATGGAGCCATTATACCTGGGAGTTTTCCAGGATATTCAGCCTTAAAATGGGATCTGATCTTTGGCATTACCAGAGAAGAGACAGGTGCCTGGGCTGTATGAGGTTCACAGGGATAGTTAGTACCAGACATTGAATGGAACTTGGGGACTTCTTGATCTTGGCTTGATCTTGGCTTATTTGAGTTTCTACTTTTCAGGCATAAGCAATCCTCCCAGCTCAGCCTCCTGAGTAGCTGAAACTACGGGCATGTGCTACCATGCCCAGCTAATTTTTGCATTTTTTGGTAGAGACGGGATTTAGCCATGTTGCTCAGGCTGGTCTAGAACTCCTGGGCTTGAGCAATCCACCTGCCTCGGCCTCCCAAAGTGCTGGAATTACAGGTGTGAGCTACCGCGCCTGGCCGAGGAAATCTTAAATAGAGCAAAAAGATCAAGAAAAGGAAACCAGAAAAGATAAAAACTATTAGAACATAGAAACGGAGGAAAAGAAATTATCAAAGAAATAATAAAATTTTTCAAAATGATAGGAATTTTTTGATTGAAATGGTCCTCCATACACCCAGCACATGAAGGGAAAGGGACTCGCACCTTGGTGATGACAGTGATATTTCAGAACAGAATTCATATAAAGAAGATCCTAAAATCTTCTGAATCGGGGGCAAAAACAAGTCATACAAAGAATCAAGAATCAGGATGGCACTGAAGTTCTCCACACCAACAATGAAAGCTGGAAGCCAATGAAGCAAAA